CATGATTTGATAATAAAAAACCTTTAAGATCACCTGCTGAACATGATTCAAATAGTAACAGATATGGATCAGTTTCCAAACAAAAACCCAGTAAAGCCAAGATATTCTGATGATGTAGTTTCAAATATGGAGTTGCTTCTCCAAGAAACCAAGCCTTTTCCTTCATAGTAGCTTCTTCTGTAAGAATTCTCACAACAACACCACCATTTTTAGAAGTCCTTTTATGTCCTTCTAAATCTGCACGACCTTCAACAACTTTTCCAAACCAACCATGACCAATTTCTCTTAAATATTTTAATTTCTCTCTAGGTACGCATAAGTCCTGTGCATCAAACCATTCATGACAATGTTCAGGGAGAGTATTAGAATCAGAATCATGTTTTTCAAAAAAAGACGTCGATAAAGGTAATGGTTTAGGTTTTGAAACATTTCTAGGTCCAGATATAATATGCTCTACAGGCAAAGGTTCAAATTGTACTCTTTCTGAAAGAGCTAACATATGTGGAACATTCAATTCCAAACCTTCGAAAGAATGTTCAAATACTGATTCTTGACCAATATTATTTCCATCTTTGAACTCCTATAACATAAAACCACAATTATATTTCCTAAATTCTGTCACAAAGATAAAAAAAAAGTATTTTAAAAAACAATAAATTAAAGTACATTAAATTATATTCAATACTAGCAAATACACATGCATCTATATTTAAATATTTAAAAAAAGAAAGGAAAAAATATGACACATTTATTATTTTCTTTTTATATAAAAAAAAATGATACGGTTATCTCATGACATACTTAAATATAATAAATAAATATCAATGATTTTTTCTGTCAAAATGATATAAACTATTATTACTCGAATAACAATGTTGATATTTAAAACAAACAAATAGTACTAAATATTAATGAAATCTTTTTTTGTTTATATTCATATACATAATATCGAACATATTTGAAAAAGAACAATTATAACTTCCTTTGCTTTTTAATATGATCTTCTAATGAAATTGTTCTTAACTCTTTTTATTCTAAGAACTTTAATTTTACCTGATTGCACTTTTCTGCTTTGTCCTATAATTAGTAACATATAAGTCATTACTCTCATGATAAAGAGTTTATTAGAAATTTTTATTTGTTATGTATAACATATGACAAATCACCTGAAATCCCTTGGGTCTTCTAGGTCTTCGACAACAAAGGCAACCAACCAAAGTAAATGCTGTAGCAGTAACACTCAAAAGACCAAGAGTATATTGTATCCAGTATCGTTCCCATTTTGATGAAGCATAAGAGTATGGCAAATCTGTTACAAGCGAAATAACCTCTAACTGGCAGTTTTGTTATCAAAATAGATATTCAAATGTGCAATCACATACCCGTTCGCACAGAGGATGATACAGGATAAGCTGTGAGTGTTGGAAGACCCGCCCAAAACAGCCAACATATCCAACATAATAATATGATATTCAGCATCGCGCTTCAATAGTGATGGTGATCTATTTAAGTCATTCTTAAAAAAAATCTATTACTTCTCAAAAGGGATACATGACTGCTGAAAACTGAAAAATATCTCGCAGATCGTAGTACGTTCTAATTTTGCGACACGCGTATCACGACTGTCTGTAATCTCATATTTCTGATATTTGCAATCTGTCGGGAACTAACTTCGGCAAAGAATGCTGTTAGATAAATTTTTCACGGCAATGATGAAGTGTTGCAACAGTATGTAAAATAGAAATACACTTCTCTTAGGGAAACCAGTTGGGCCAAGCATGATACGTATCATTAAAACGAATACAATACAATACAGCCACGGTCCGGTTAAAAGGTAGGTGTAAAATCACCACGCTTGCCAAACCCAATTCTATTCTTGCCCTTTATTCTGTCTGTTGCTCTCTTTCTATCTTCAGTATACGCTAATATGAACGGTATACCTATCCTGACTAGACGGTCGCTTTAGGTTGCGACATTTTGATGAGTGCAATATTATGCGTATGTTTGATTGTTTAATAAATTCTAAATACAGTTGAATGAATTCCTTTTTGTATTTACCATTATGTACATATATATGTGATGATAGAATAATAATGCAACAAAAATAAAATTTATCTCAAATCACTAATCTTGCAAAAGTGCTACATTATTTCGTTTCAACGTATATAATTGTATTTTTCTTACAACTATTATGCATTTTTTATTTTCGTAGTGTTAAATGTAAAAATTATAATATCTGTATATATACGTAATAAACATAACGAATACGCAATTAATCCAAAGTAAATAAAAAATAATTCTAGGGGAAAATCTTTTTCCAAATATTTCTTTTGTTGAGATTATTATTATTTGTAAATAAAAAATTATTGTTGAAATATTTTATTATAGGAATAAATTTGAAACAATTCTAATGTGTATAAAACAATGTTAAATTTTTCTTCCGATTCTTTTTTTTTTACCATTTTCTTATTGTTTAGTCCTTTCTTATTATCTTTATCATCCTAATATAAAAAGATTTTTTATTTTAACAATTTAAAATATTTCATATGTACTTTATTAAAAATGTTCCTTTAGATAATTATAATTAAGAAATTTTTATTAAAAATTTACAAATGATTAAAAAGCTTATGTAAAAGATTATCTATTGATGACTGCAGTCACAATAGTTTTTAAATTGAACTATATATAAATAATAATAAATAAATATAATATTTACAGTAACCTATTATATTCTAATATATTTATTTAATATAAATATAATGTAAAATATAAACATAACTCACAATTTTTTAATATAACAAATAATTTAACAAAACATACAAATTACTGTACTGTAAATATTGAAATAATTAATTGGATCACAAAATCCACATAATAGAAATGTTTAATATGAATGGTCCCATGGTGTAATGGTTAGCACTCTGGACTTTGAATCCAGCGATCCGAGTTCAAATCTCGGTGGGACCTACGGTACATTTTTTTTCCTTTTCCTAAAATTTATTATACTTAATGGAAATTAAAAATCTGATGACAAAATATTTAAAAAGATATGAAAATAGTAAGTTTTATAATCACATGAATGATATATTCATTAATGATTTGGATAATTGATTATGTTATTTAATATTCAGAATAATAATAGTAATAACAATAATTATTATTTGCACTAATGTTTTATAAAATGTTCATTTTCTTTTGTTGCATATTGGAAGAGATAAAATACCATTATTCATTACTTATGTACATACTGGAAAACATTATTACCAACCTTAACATCTAGTTCGTTCTATTTCAAAGGTTAAGATACCTTTATAACCTTGCATTTTTAGGATTTGTACAGAAATGAATGAAAATTAAAATTATAAATTATAAATACTATATGAATACTACATGTGTATATAAAATAAATGAATTATATAATATGTCAATGTATTAAACATTTTGAACAAAAACATCGTTGACATAAATTTTAAGGTTAATAATATTATTGAAAGAAATTGCAATCATGAACGAAGAATGTAATTCTGTTGTAATAGTTAAAGCAAAGCCTGTTCGTAAAGTATTCAAAGCCCCGGTTAAAATGAATAAAATACCTGAGGAAATCTTAAATGATCCTTTGTTGAATGCAGCAATTGCTGCGTTACCTTCTAATTATAATTTTGAAGTACATAAATCAGTGTGGAGAATTAAAGAAACAAAAGCAAAAAGAGTTGCGTTGCAAATGCCTGAAGGACTTTTAATGTATGCCACAACCTTAGCTGATATTGTAGAAGGTTTTACAGATGCAGAAACTATTATAATGGGAGATGTTACTTATGGTAAGGTATTACGCTATTGTATAATAAGAAAAAGATGCTTTGTATTTCTAAAAACACAATTTAAATATGTTCAGATTTGTATTATATATGTAATTTTAAATTAAAATAACATAACTGATATAGGAGCATGTTGTGTAGATGATTATACTGCAAAAGCATTAGGTGCAGATTTTTTAATTCATTATGGTCATTCGTGTTTAATACCAATTGATCAGACTGTTGGTATTAAAGTACTTTATGTGTTTGTTAATATAAAAATTGATACATCTCATTGCATCGAATGTTTACGAGCTACGTTGCCAATTACAACAAAAATTGGACTTGTAAGCACTATACAGTTTGCTGGTACATTACAAGCAATTGCAATGGAAATGAGAAAAAATGGTTATGAAGTATCTACTCCACAAAGTAAACCATTAAGTCCTGGCGAGGTATTGATATTTATGTATCTTATTAGATTAAATTCAAATTATATAAGTACATATATTGTAATCTCATCAATGTTTAAAGATTTTAGGTTGTACAGCACCAAGGATTCGATGCGCTGATGCAGTTATCTACATAGGAGATGGTAGATTTCACTTAGAAGCAGCGATGATTGCTAATCCAAAATTACGGGCATTTAGATACGATCCTTACGAGAAGAAATTGACAGAAGAATTTTACGATCATGAACAGATGCTAAAGACTAGATTAGCAGCAATTGAACATGCAAAAGAGACGGGAAGATTTGGATTGATACTTGGTACTTTAGGAAGACAAGGAAATCTCAATGTTTTAAAAAATTTAGAAACCAAAATTAATTTATTGGGCAAGGAAAACATTATTATATTGCTCTCAGAAATATTTCCAGATAAAATTAAGTTATTTAAAGGCATTGATGCTTTTATACAGGTTATTTACAAAATTTTCTCTGTTAATTATGTAACACGTGCATAATTATAATTATTGTATATTAAATAATTTTTATATTACAGATTGCATGTCCGCGGTTAAGTATAGACTGGGGTACAGCTTTTGAAAAACCTTTTCTTACCCCATATGAAGGAGCTGTTGCTTTAAAAATGATAAATTTTAACAATGATCAACCATATCCTATGGATTTTTATGCTTCAGCTAGTCTTGGACCATGGACTCCTAATTATAAAGAATCTGAATTAGAAAAACAAACTAATACTTGTTGTGGTAAATGTAAAGATAAAACATAAATAATAAAAATTAATTTATATTTAATTTAATATTGTTGAAAATTTTATTTTTTATCTATCATTCAAAAAATGAATAGTAATAAGATTAAAACCTCAATAATTTATAAATATTTTTCCTTATATTTTGATCCTATATGAATTTATTATAATTAATAACAAAAGTGATTATTTATTGTTTAGTTTTTAATATATTTGTACAACAAAATTTAAATTAATATCCAAACATACGTTTAATTGTATTTCATGCTACTTCAATCAGTAGTATTGTGATTATAGAAATGCCGCGTGGGCGAATTACGTCATACGCCCACCTGTAGCCGCACGACTATATAGAATCTTTTATATATATGTACAAAAGGTGTGTAATACAAATACGATTGTCGCATAAATTTTTCTATCCTAGAATTTACAAATTATTAAAGATTTACTCACTACATTCTGTAACGTTATTCTTACTTTTAATTTATTATTTATGCAACATGTCATAAATAAAATTTCATGGAATATAATTCAATTTTTACTTTTATCAGTATACGTTGCCATTATAAGAAAAATAAGAATATCAGTTTTTTTATATAAGTACGCGATAAATTAATTTTTATTACATAAATGAAAATTTAAGGAAAATAAACAACGTTTTATAGTAAAGTTATTAAGAAAAGGTCACAGGGTAGATCGCATAGTTCCCGGGGGTGGAAGGCTGTTTCGGCCGCACCCCGGCATCGCGACGTCAGTCGTCATTCCAACGTGACTCAACAAGTACACGCGGCAGTGTATAGTTGATTCAAATATTTGAAAATGTACCGTATAATATAATATATAATCTAATCTAATCTATTCTAATCTAATCTAATCTAATCTAATCTAATCTAATATAATATAATATAATATAATATAATATATAATATAATATAATATAATA